ATAATTGCTAGAAGTTGTTCTTGCGCTACGTGGTCGAAAGCTCCATTCTGGCAGCCTTGGCCCCGTTGGAATATACAATCTCGCCTCCTCATCAATACATCCTGTCCCCGCAATGGCAAGTGCGCGCTCGTTGTCGTTAGCTATCGCTGCATCATTAATGCAACAATAGCAACGGAAGAAATGTGGCCATAGATTGGCTTCCCACTCTTTTTGCTCGGCTGATATCTTTCTCCGTCCTGGAGCGCCGGGATAGACTGATTTCCCTTGGGGTACACAGTCGTGATCCTCTACTAAATCACCATGGTCTTGTTTTCGAAGCCTCATCAACCTCATGTGTATGCCCCTCACTGTAGAAGATATCCGTTTCTCGTTGAGCTTGTGGCCTCTCTTGATATGGATCAATCCAGATATGTATGCGGTCCACCAAAGTATATCTCCTGTTATGCCTATGATTGGGATGGCTATGACTGATTTGGTGGAGTACTTGGCATTTAGAACAATGAGAATGATCGATATAACACCGTGTAACACTCTTAAAAGGCGGTTAATCAGTTGTCGGGAAGCCTGAGAGGCGAATACAAAGTTCGCGATCCAGATGGGGTAATAATAGAAAACATATACGCAGCTGAGAATGGACACCGTATCTTGAGCGTTTTTGAGGGAAGGAGAGTCCGTTAAGACAATCCCGGCGATTGCAATTGCAAGAAGAAGATTCAAAAGTGGCATTGTATCGCCAAATACAAATCCCATGCGAACAAACTCCGAGCACCAGTCATTTGAGCAGTATTCGTAAAGATCAGAAGAAGGCGGAGAATAAGAAAGTTCCAAAATTTTCAATAGCCACAGAAAGTGCATGTTGAAAGTTTGCCCGAATGAGACTGAAATGGAGACTTCTGATGAATTTAAGCACATTCACAGCCTGGGCTCACCCTAGCGCGTGAGCCGCCTAAATATTCAGCCTTGCGCTGAATGCAGGATTTGGCTGACTTGATGTCGCACAACATATGTGGCTGGCTTGGCTCACATAATTCCAGTGATGCCTCGTTGCAAGCTTATAATGATAGTAGACCTTGTGAGTTTTGAGTTTCTTTCTGAATCCTCCGCTGCCTTTGCGTCGCTATATACGGCCTTCCAAAATGAACGTAGTAGCATTTAGCATAGTAATCCTGCTAGGAATACTGCTAGGCATTTTCGGTCCTGTTCTTGTTCTGTTTGTTCCACCGTTTGTACGAGCCTACAGATATAACCACCATATCAAACCAGAGCTGAAGCGTATTTACGATGAGACGCATCATTAAGAAACATTTAATTCAGCCAGATAATTTGGTATGTCAGCGTAGTCAACACAAGAAGCACGATTGAGTTGATGGCTAACATTTTCTTCAGTGGTTCTTTTTCATCTACCGGTTAAGCCTACGACAGAAGTCATTTTCTCCGTTTCGAACCAATCTATCCTGTGTGCATGGCGGGAGCAGGTTGTGGTTGAAGTAATATCAGGACTGGCTCGAGGGTGACTTGTTGACAGGTCGCAAAGCGATTCTTTAGTGAAGGGATTTTGCCTGATATGATATGAGAAAGCATGGATATCTGGTCCGCGGCTGAGAAAGGATATGGAAGTGTAAGGCTATAACTTACTGATCAGCAGGTCAATAAGCAAATTGTGTTTAATTTCAATTGGTTTATACCCTGCAGAAAAATATTGGCAAAAGCACGCTAATGCATGATGCATGATGCATCACCATGCATTTACTGGAAGGCGGTTCTAGAGCCCGAATCTGAGTTTGATTAGTCATCGAATGCGGGGTATCCACCGGCCTTTCATTTGGATGTTGATGTAAACAAAGCTCGCCAATTTTCACTCCATACCGCAAAAAATGGCCAACCACCTACTGCCATCAACTACCAAAAAGGCAATCGAGACAATCGTAGGATATCGGTTCAAAAACCCGAACTATCTCTGGGAAGCTCTGCAGGCTCACGGTTCCCACGTTACCAAGATCGATGGTCGTTTCATCGGCGAAGGCAACAAGCGTTTAGCTCTCGTCGGAGATTCGGTCTTAAGGCTCGTTCTGTTGGGTGATTGGTATCCTTCGAGTTTTTACACTGGTATTACTTCACCTCCTAAGATTAACCACGAAAGCTAATTAACCGTTCCCAATAAGCTGGGGCAACTCCAGTCCTGGTGAAGCTTTTATCCAATGAGTACCTTGATAAGCGCGGCCGAGAGCTGGGCCTCGAAACCTTCATTGTAAAGAACCTTGCTCAAGGAAAAGTTGTGTACAAACGGACTATGGCATCTACAATGGAAGGCATTCTTGGAGCTATCTACCTTGATTCCGGGAAAAACCTTGAAAAAGTCGAGTCGTCCATGTCCACCATGGGTATTAAGTATAAATGGACGGATGATTTGACTATGAATCGTGAAAAGGTAAGTCCTGACCCGAAGTAGGTTATTGATCTAACTAGGTTTTAGAGCCCCAAAGTCTCCCTAAGTATTATACAATTTACGCCAGGAACAAAGGCGCTTGTATGCAAAGGGCTCGAGCATCTCAGCGGGAACGAAACTTTGGCCCGTGCCAAATGGTAGTAGATCCTTTGTCCTCTTGACACTTGTCTTGTCTAGAGTCTCACTGCACGGTTTTTGATTGAGAAATGCCGTGAAGACTCAACGCCTCTTGCCGCAACCTCTGCGCCGTTGGCCGGGGTAAGCCGTGGGCCCCTTCCGTGGGGGCGCCTTCGTGTCCATCACATACACCTAGGGCACGGTGTGGGCAGCAATTGTCAACCTGGATTCGGTTTGTACGAGAAAGGTGGTTTCAGAAGTTTGAATTGAAACGGACAGTTGCTTTGATGATTGTAATAACAATCCGATGAAAAGGCATTGAAAGTAGGCAAAGAGAGAGCAAATTGACAGATCATATACACCATCCATATTAAAAAATAATAAGCGAATTTCTACTAGCAAACAACAAGCAAAAAGTGAAGACAACTTAGACAAGTCTACCAGGATACTACCAACAAAAAAACTCACCAAACACATCCACCCCAGTCTAAAACCTCTTCACAAACCGACTCTTCGTCCTCAACCACTCCTCCAGCCCCATAATCTCAGGATGCACCTTCCGACACCCCTCCATATCCGCCTTATACCCCTCGTCAGCGAACCAATCCAGCATCATCCCCATCTCCTTGACGCCCTTCTTCAGCGCCTTCCCCAGCAGCCCAAACGTCGTGCCCACGGGCTCGCCCACCACGTCCTCAAACGCCTGGTCCAACTCCGCGAAAGTGAGGTTGTCGCCGGCGAGACCGACGGCCTTGCCATCCCATCCCTTTGGGTCTTCGAATGCATTGGCCGCGAAGACGCCGATGTCCGATGTCGCGATCCACTGCAGTGGCTTCTCTTTCATCGTGTCGCGTAGTGCGGTCATGAAGACCTTGCTCGCGAAGCCCGGAGCCAGGTTGTCCATGAAGATGCTGGGGCGCAGGATCGTCCAGCCCATGCGCGCTTTTCCGTCCTTTGCGGCGGTAGCGTCACGGAGGTGCTGCTCAATCTTGTGCTTAGTCGCGAAATGCGGGACGTTTGTCGGGTTATCCCAGGAGCGTGTATCCCCACCGCGCTCAACGCTGCTGTACACGAAGTGGCTCACGCCTGCCTTGAGGGCTTCGTCGACTAGGGAGGTGCCTTGCTTGACTTCTTGCTCGCTTTTGAACGTCGCTTGCACGGAGAAGACGCCCCAGATACCGGCGGGGGAAGTTGCTTTCTTTGCGGCGGAGAAGAGCGTCGGCACGTCGTCGAGGTTGCCTTGGACGAGTTTGATGGCGGGCGATTTCGCGGCGAGGCGCTGTGCGCTGACGGATTGCGCGTCGCGGGTGAGTGCGAGGATGGTGAAGTCGGGCGATTTGCGCGCGAGGAGGGCGTCGATGACCGCGCCGCCTTGTTTGCCGGTTGCGCCGGTGATGAGGAGGGCGCGAGACATGGTTCAGTGAGTGAAAGTCAGGAATGGGTTGGAGAATGAGTATCCAGAAACTTGTGCCTCTTTGTCAATGCCGACATTTTGAATATATACTCTGCTCAAGTTATCCGTTTCGGCGATCGGTGTGTAGAGCAGTTCGGGATGCCGTAAGCTAGCGCGCTCGGCCTTTCGAGGGCGCGGCTTACCAAGCCTCGCTCTGCATCTCTGCCGACCGCTACAATAACGCGACGCACTACTTACCTATAGAGATTCGTCCTACTTCTGTAAGCATCTATAATGTCTCATGGTGCGTGCTAATCTTCAATCGTGCACTGAGCTTCATTTGCTTGTTTGCTTGCTGCGACGCGTCGGCTTTCACGGTTGGATCGTCGTCTATGCACCTGCATGAGTGAGAACAAAGCATGGACATAGCTGTTGACCTCTCGGCTGGCCTTCATATCGACGCTGTGTGGTGGTGGTTGTGGCGGACAGACAAGTTGACGAGGTCGTGAGGCTCGCGCCGCGCTAACCAAGAGAAGCTTAGCAGAGCGGTAAACTTTGCAGCCAATGAGACGTTGGAAAAAGCGCCGACTTACCTAGGTAGGTACCTATGGAAACGACCGTGACGACGTCACCGACTCTCGCTCCCCTCCATCGTCTCTCTCAACCTTCCTCTTCCCACCTCTGCCGACGTCCCACTGCTTCACCGTGCTACCGCCCAGATGCTTCATTCCTACTGACACCGCGTACTCATCTCACCCATCAGCCACGCGGGTGCCTTTGTGAGCGTCCGACTGCAGACCGAGATGACCGGAACTTGGTGTGGTGTTATTTGCCATTGCTGCAAGGACGCAGGCAGGGAGCTATCACCGCAATGAAGAACTAAAACCCAGCACCAAACCCAGAGTGCAGATCCCTCCGCTGCATCACAGCCATCGCCGCGGACTTACTACTGCCATTGCCAGCCTTCTCGCCCGTAATCAAGTTGCCAGCATCCGTAATCGCCTTGGACAGCCTCAAAATATCCATAATACCCACAACCTCATCGCGCACCTTCCAACCCAGCTCTGTGGGGAACCGTTCGTTCTCTGCAGCACAAAGTCAGCCCTCAGTCCCTCACTAATCTCATCTGCAAATCCTCCACTGAACCTCCATTCCTTCAACCAGAGTTCTTAGACTTACCAATCCAGTACTCGACAAAATCACGGTCAACAGTAAAAGCATGGAGATCACCGTAAGCAACAATTGGCGCGCTGACCTCGCCGACGCTGAACTGCTCGTTGCTCTCCGTGAAAGAGTACGTGGGGTTGAAGGCGCGCGAAAACACCTGCCGCGCAAGCTTGCTGTTCGCGAGCATCTGCGCCGTCAGCGTCGGCGCGGTCCAGAACTGCTTCGTCCAGTCAAAGACGGTCTTGTTGAAGCGATGGTTGTTGCCGAAGTAGGCGTCGGCGCGGCTGAGACTGGCGTCATGCTCGAGGACGTTGTGTTTGTTGAGCATGTCGCTATTCCAACCGCGTCAGCATTTCATGAGACAGATTGAAGTGGGTGGTGGTACGTACAGAGTGAAGTAAGTCGCATTCGGCTCCGGATTAATAAACACAGCCTGCTCCCACATGAATGCGGCAAGCGACTCGTTGAAGTTCAGCGCCGAGGAGAGGGCGTGCACGGCATTGGCCTTGGTGATGTTGCGGCCGTCGTGGGGGAGGAAGGCGTGGTTCGCCAGAGTGTTCATCATGGGACAGGGGCCGCGGACTATCCAAGAATCAGCATTTAGGTACATGGGGAGGAAATAACTGGGCAGTTTTAGTCGTACAGTCATCGTGGCCTGGGGGCTTCCACTCCGTGTGAGAGCCTTGGGCCACTGCGGCAGCGATGGTGAGGGCGGATGCGAGGAGAGAGGCGAGTTGCATTATTGCTGGGTGGCACAGCTGGTGAAGTTGGAGAGGTGGTGGACACAGAACAGTGAAGGATGAAGGGAGAAAGAGTGCAAGAAGGAGATTAAAGAGGAAGCGTGGTAGTGAGCATTCAAAGCATTGAACGAATTACAGGCGAGGTATTTGTATATTCCGCGACACCCTGGACGTTCACTTACAAGGAGATGCAGGTACGGCGCGCACGGCCCATTAAACGAGTACGAGGTGCAGATACGTGAACGATGAACGATGAACGAGTACGAGATGAGCTAAACCCCATCGAACTCCTTAGGGATTTGTGACGTCCAACCTCAACAACCTCACTTTCATTCTGTACTGCTTCACTTGCTGAGTAAACGGTACATCTAGCTTACGGCCTTGATGTACTAGACTCCTCGATGAGGCCATAATACTTAACCCGCCGTCAAAACTGCCTTCGCTCCACTGCCCGCGTGCTGAGCCAGATATGCGAGGAAGCCGACCACCCCTGCAACCACACAGACCTGGCTGCTCCACTCGGCCTCGGCCCGCCAGCCGGCTTTTGTCTGCCGTTGTCAATGCCAGACCAATCAGGCCAAATGCATTAGGAACAGGATTGAGGGGAAGGATGCGTACGAGCAGCCGTCTCACGCCATGTGGATTCGGAAGGCTGCTCTCCCACCTCCTTAGGTACTGTCAAGTGGGAGAAGCTTTGATTCGCAGCGGGAGCAGGGTGGATTGGGCACCTGTGCACTGTCTTTGGTTTTTATAATCTTTATTGACTCGAAGCTGTTGTACGGGACAACTGTCAGGACACAACCATGGAAAGAACCCATCCCCTGCACTTCCATTCCACCATGGCAGCAATCAAATCCTCTAGATCCCTAACACCAAGGATATCAACACAGCACTTAGAACAAGCCTCCATGCAGCACTATGATACCTGGTGTGCTCGCAAACGCAAACACCGGAAAGGCAGACTTACAGATAATTGTCTTTTCCTCCGACTTGCAGCACGTGTTGCACTCCTATTAAGCTTGTCAGCCATACCAATACGCAAATTGTAGTCGGCAAAAGCAAGAACGACTTACTCCCATCTTAACGTTCTCCTAGTAGCATCGCAACAGCCGTTAGCCCTCAATCACTTATTAAATAGGTACTAAGACAAGAACGTCAATGAAAGTGCTAGTAGTTTACTTACCCAACCTTCACTGCACTTAATGGGCTCGAACGAACAAATCCGCATACAGAGACCAGTATGCCCCTCGCCGCGGAAGTCATCAAAGGGCGAGACAGACTCGGCCCAGGGCATCTGCTTCTGCGTGTGGCGGGGAGCAGCGAGGCCGGTAACGGCGAAGAGAGCGAGGACAGCAGTCGTGTAATGCATTTTGTATGTCGATTGAATTCGTAGGTATGAGTGAGTGGGTAGGTACCTAGGTAGGATGCGTATGTGCTAATGGTAGGTTGAGATTGCGTGATGAGGGCCTCAAGGGGGGTTTATATACCCGTCACCTTCCCTTGACTCGTAGACGGGACGAGGTGAGCTCCCTTCTTAAGTTTATTGGAGTGACGTCAAGTCAATGTCTACGTCCCCCTTGCTACGTAGTAGATAGATATATAAAGCACCTAGGTATTAGGGCTTGGGGCGGTGACGGTAGTGCGACGGTGCCGGTGGTGTGGGTTGAGATGGCCAGTTGGTTGGGGTTAATGCCGTAACCGGCATCTTGCGGGACGCATGCGGCTGGATCCACTAGGCGCACGTGGGGTGGGATAACGCGGGTAGATACCTAAGTATCTAGTATGTGCGGGGTAAGATCGTGTACACCATAACCCCGAACAAAAGTAAACAGATCTAGGCCTTGTACCACTTGACTACCTAGGTTAGTATTTAACCCAAAAGAATCTGCCAGTCCACCTCGTCTTTATGGGTACCACTACCGCAGCAATATTCCATAGATCCAATGGGCCATGCGGAGCGAGAAAATCGGAAAAGCTATTCCGCTAACTTCCACTTGATTCCCCGCATTTGTGTACCGTACAATGCACGCATAGGTATGTTGTTTTCTGGGTGACAACGAGGCTAGCTGGGTGATGAACCAAAAATAATATACCTTCAGTCCTTGCCATACAGGTAGAAGCGCGTCCGCTGTGCACGCATTTGAATTTAAGGCACTAGGTACTTAGATAAAGACAGACAAACGTAGGTAGAAGCCCCAATCGCAGCTACGTCATCTTAAAGCACCGCTAAGAACACCCATCCACCGTACGGCTACTAAATAAACCAGCAACGCAAGGCTATAGGAGCTCATTCGCCGCGAGCACTCCTGGGCATAAAAAAGCCTCTAGATCCCTAGTAACCATAATTGTTAATACAGCACTTGCTCCTACGACAAGACATCTTATCTACTCCAAATAGAGAGGCACAGCCGTAGCAGCACCAACAGGGAACATTGGCACACTTACAGATAACATTACGCTCCTTGGTCTCACCGAATTCCTTGCAGCAAGCATAGCAATCCTATAGGCACATATGCGCGTCAGCCTATTCCATAGGGACAAAGCAACCGACTCGGCATTAGGGAGGGGTCAGATAGTGCCACGCGTAGAATAAACAACTGGTAACATACCCCGAAGACTTTAGTAGGTTCCTAGAACGATACGAGTAGCGAAGTTAGTCCAGCGCTTTAATGTGTTTCTTTTATATCGTCGCTGCACTAAGCGGTGTGAAGCGCGAGATGTCCCGCGCCGATCAGCTCAGGGCACTCACCCAGCCTTCCTGGCACTCTCGTTCTTTAGGCCCACAGCTTCTATCGCAGATCTTGTACATCTCATGCTCGCTGTCCTCAAAGGATGAGACCGCATTGGCCCAAGGCATCTGCTTCAGACGATGGGTGCGGGCGAGGCCGGTAGCGGCGAAGAGGGCGAGGGCAATGGTGGTGTAATGCATTTTGTGTGCGGGTTGGCTCAGTATGTAGATATGAGCAAGTGGAGAGGGATTGCGTTGTCGGTGATTGAGATTGCGTGCTAAGGAGTGCTTTTTGGGGGTTTATATACCCCTCGAGCGGGTCATAGGCCTCACGTTCGTCCGTAACCAAGTTACTGTCCGCGTCCCATCGTTTTGCGCGTGTCACAGATCTCGGGTACTAGTGGCGCAGAGCGCATCGTAGCTCTGAGCTTACTTCGTGTCCGAAGCTAGTTTGTGCCGTGATCTGTAAATTGCGGGGTATGTGCGACTGCATTTACTGGGTGCCTATGGAGCGGAATAGACGCGGATATCTGGTGCATATATATGTGAGGTGAGAAATTGTGCATACCGGAAACAATACTGAACCGATAAAGGCTATCTAATACTTAAGGTGAGTGCCTAACGTACGAAAAATCTAGTCTACTAGTATACCTCCAGTTTATAAATGTTGTTACAGCCATGAGAGCCCATCGTGCGGCGAAGCAAGGCGGTAAGTTGTAACACTAGTCCACTTATTTCCCCGCGTTTGTGTACCCAGCCATACATGCATATGCGCTTTTCTTGGGACAATCAAGATAGTGCATGCATCCCGGGTGGTAATGCTCGTGTTGCATAGAATAGCGTGCGCCATCGATCGCCGGCGGGCCGGGGGGGGGATATTTTCTCATTTTAGATCTCTAATAGTGTTTAATATAGTATGGATAGACAAGTAGAGGAAAGTAGGAGTCGGTGCGGCTTATAAAATGGAAAACTTTTGAGATCTTCTTTATACACCCATGTCTTTTTTGTTAGATGCCTTAAATAATATAGGATAGTAACATATTTCCGGCTGGCTGGACGGACGTCAATATAGAAATAATACCTAGTACACCACTCACGGAACTTATATAGTACATAGTATATAGTACGTAGGAGCGTAGACAGTTTAATTGTTATGAGGTACCCAAAGACCGACAAAAAGTAGGACCTCACTCTTAGCTACATCTGCCCCTCTTCTCACCCCAACAGGGCCAACACTTCCGCTCAAGATCCCTCACGGCCATCAACTAACTAAATAGCCGTCACTGAACCCTAAACTCGAACCCCTAGACCCCTAGCATTAAGAGAATTAGTACAGTGCCTATAATAAACTAGGAGATCAGTAGCATCAGATCGTTCTTACAGATAACATTCCTAGCCGTCGAGTCGTCTTCAGGCTTGAAGCAGCAAGTCCAGCATTCCTAAGTACACATATTAGCCACTATATATCGGACCTAAACCGCTATTTCTAACACCCGAACTTCGAGAGTTGTCGGCGTCTATAGTGGTAGTAAGGATCATAAGTTATACATACCCCAAACTGCTTAGGGGACTACATTTCATGCGTGCTGTTAGCCTGCTACTAGTACTACACAAGCCGGAAAGGACGACGCACCAAACCCTCAGGACATGAAGGCTCTTCTGGAAAGCAAGCCCTCCAGCAAATCTCACCATCGAAGGCCGAAACAGATTTGGCCCAGGGCATCTCCTTCTGGCGGTGGCTGCGGGCGAGGCCAGTGGCCGTGAAGAGGGCTACGAGAAGGGCTGAGGCGTGCATTTTGCGAGCTTGGGAAGTAGGATTCTTAAATGGATGAATGGATGGATTGCGTTGGCTGTGTTGGAGATTGCGTGATGGCCTCGAAAGAGTTTATATAGATTCGCTCACTCCCCTTTCCAAGCAAATGGAGCGCTCAATGACACATTCGTCGTCTTGACCACGTCCTTTGTGTATTGCATGACGTCGAAGTCGGGCTGTGTTTGAGGTGGTCGTCTTGCATGGTGCGACGCGCGACGGCTGCTAGCTGTCGTACGCATGCTGTGCATGTTGTCTAACGCCGTGTACTGCGTTTTGGTGGAGATTGTGTGCGACCAGGTCTGTCGAGTACGCGTGGAGGGGGATGATGGGGACATCTGTTGCATGAACGCGGGTGGGGTCGTGGAAAAGGGGAACAACAAGACTGGCTAAAAGAAGCTCCCTACATATCGGCACATGCCTCAAACCCTAATGCCTTTCTCGAACTATCTTCTACTTTTTGTACGCATGCCATTATACTCTCGAAAGTCGTTGGTAGACATATCAAGATGAATAACATTCTGGCTGCGACGAGAGGAACCAAGGCTCACAAACTTCCCCGCTCCAAGTAATGCATGCATCCGTATTGTATTTCAGGAGCCGACGATGCAGGTCAGGACAGGGTACATTAGAGATGTGCACCCCGCAGTCGCACCGATCTACTTTGTGCGACGCCTGCATCGCCACATCTGCGTCCTCTTACAACCTGCCATCAACCGACAGCTGAGCAGTCTGCACGTCACCGCGGGAAAAGGGACTGTTTCTCCCTCAATGACACTATGCTACCGTGAGGTTCAGAAAAGGGATCGAAGACAAAGCGAACTTGAGATGGGGAGTAGGAGATTAAATTGTGTCAGATTGCTTCTTTTTCGCCCAGGCGTCAACGATGCACGTAAGACAACGACGCTACCGGCTCAAATGGCATTGACTGTGATGCCCACGTACCAGAAGCTCGAATCTTCGCGCCGGGCCGGGGGTTTGAAAGACAAGGTGGGAAGAATAAAAGATAGAGTGCATTATCTCCGGCAACGCAGACGTGCTGCACGCATCTCTGAACCTGGGGAGCCGATCCCGCTGATAGATTGGTTGTTGGGGCGCTAGTCGGGTCGTACATACGGGCGGGGTGCCGACGGCTGCATGCATGTAGAGGGCGAAAGCGGAAACTTCGTTGGGCAGTGGGAGATGGTAATGCCGGTGCAATTGCTTTCCAATGCTTTTAGTACGGATTCGTAACACTCTAAATGGCAAAGATACCACGGCTCCTCACTGCAGATGATTCCGGGTAAGTGAGAGCGGGGAAATTGTGGCAGGTAGCGCCTGTGCTACCTATATACTGCAAGCGCGGCTACGCACAGCGATCGGAAAGATGTTTGGGAAACACAAAGACGATTGGACAATGAGCTGTGTGCGGGGAAGCACTAATGCAGCTTCATTCGATGATGTGTGGCCGGTACATCTGCCAGCAGATGCACAATGACAACTCTTTGGAGACATCCAGCACTCTCCACAAACACAAACGCGATGCAGTGCCCAGGCCCATCTATGTAGCGCCACCTTTGTCCGCGTCCCTTCGTTTATCCAAAGAACATGCATTCTCTCCTTTGGTCGTCGACTTCCGACAGCGGGCAAAACCAAAAAGACCTCGCTCCTTGTGTCTCTCCTACCTAGCCCACACATCGAGGCCCAGGTACATAAGCACCACCAGAGTCACGCAATTCCCAACTCCATCAATGCAATCCATCCTCAATCAAACCTTCCACACAAATAAATTCGCAAACCCAAACAACGCAATAATGAAGACCGCTACTCTCGCCCTTGTCACCTTCCTCGCCGCCACTGGCCTCGCCTCCCCCCGTTACCAGAAGCAAATGCCATGGTCCTCGGTCTCTCCTTTCGATGACGATTCGAACAAGATCTGCTGGGCCATCTGCGCCAATAAGGACATAAAGTGCCCGGAGGGTTGGGTAAGCCTGGATCGTCCCACCTACCTCACATCTCCACACGCTGCCTCATTGACGAAAAGGTAACTCCAAGGAATAAAGCTGGGCTAATTAGTATCATGTATAGGACGCGACTGGATTCGGCGAAGTATGTGGGCTTCTGCTCGTTTCCCTTCCTTCCTTTCCTTTTCGTCGCTTTTTCGATATATCCTGACGCGATGACATGTAGTGCTACACCTGCTGCAAGACGGTCGGGGACAATTCAAAGGCCAAGAACATTCTCTGTAAGTTTCTCATCCCTGCCATGAATTTTGCGAGGCTGTGGCGCTACACCGCTTAGTGTGAGCGATATATTGATCCTCTTGGTGTAGGGCTCTAGAGGTTTTGTCGCCTGATGAGCACTGAAATGGCTCCCGACTTCATGGCTATCTAGCTGCACTTGATGGTGGTGATGGTGAAGCAGGTGGTTGGAAGCTTTTGGTGCTGGCGTGTAAGGGTAGGATCGTAGATCGGATGCAGCTGAAATTGGATGTTTGAAGGTCCTACTTTTTGTCGAGTTCTTAGTGCCTCGCAATCAATGATCTGCGCTTACTCTTATGCCCTTTTGAGAATCTGCAGTGATGAATGGGGCAGATGTGAGATGCCAGCGGAGCCTTGTGTTTGGGCATAGGAAGGTCTACTACGTGCACGGTTGAGGAGTGTTATAGTACAATGAGAGCAGAGCGGCAGGATAGAGCACTACCATCCACTACTATAATCGAGTTCTACTTACCGACAACAAGTAGACTCAGCAGTCAAACAAAAAATGAAAGCTGCATATCGCACCAAGAAATAATACATATAATGCTTTACAGCACCCTCACCGTCGCCTAGCTTCCCTCTGTGGTTGGGAAAACAGATCTCCCCCTTCGGCAGTAGAGAAACGTGCAACAGCCTGTAGCGGAGGTTACGGCCTAATCACGGGTGTGAACAGATGCACAGGGATGCATCTATGATTGCATGTAGCCATATAGTGCGGGGATTTAAGCATGCAAGAGGAGTTTCGGGTTGTGGTTACCCATTGTCGGCGACCTACTTATGCCGCGGCGATAGTACCTAGGTACGGTTGATATAGGAGATCTAGCCATAGCACTAGCAGTTCAAGTACTGGAGTGATAGGCCTCGTGCATACTCAGTAATTCCCACTGTATATGCGCTATTATCCCGTTGTCCGTTCTAACTTACCATAAAATCCCAGCAGACGCACTCACCCGCCAGCACAGTCTCACACGCCTTGCTGGAAAGGTACCCCACAATGACAGCATCCAGCTAGTCATTTTGCTCCTCGTATACCGCTCACACCACCACCGGCAGAAGCAGTAACAGCAGCAGTTCTCCGGCGGTCGCACCCGCTCCGTGCTCAAAGCGAACGGCCAGCAACAGGACTGCCTCGGACCCCGTCTTTGCTCTCATGCCCAACATCAACCCAACAGATGCAAGACGCCAAGGTAGGTCCATACCAGATCTCCGCGGTCAATCTGCTCTCTTAGCAGGCCGCAAGACGAATATTTAAGTCTCTCAATTCCCATGACACCATCCGCGGCACGAGCAACGTGATCCCTCACTCCTCTTTCCAACAAATCGCACTAAACCTCTGAGAAATGAGGACCGCCATCCTCGCCCTTATCGCCCTCTTCGCCACCACCAGCCTTTGATCACCCCGTTGGCGGGGGCCATCGGCCTCGGGCACAAGTGCGGGGGAAGATGCTATGATGAAGAACCGAATTGCAAGGAGGGATGGGTAAGTAAAAGATGAGATTCTAATAGGTATGAATGGAGAATGCGATGCTAATTAACTATCTAGGACCCAATCGAATATGAATATCATGTATGTAAACTCTTTTAGGTTTTTGACTTCTTTTGCTCAGTTGGCTTTAACCTGCTGGCTCGCTGTTGGCTGCATTGTGATGTGCTTTGCTGTTTGTTTGTGCTGATATATAAACCACTTGTAGTGCTTCTTGTGCTGTAAGCATACTGATCCTGAAGTCAGTTTGATTGCCGAGAATGTTATCTGTAATTGTGTTTCTGATAGAGGCGATGGTGCTGGCTTAATGTACAAGTGTCATACTGACGCACTTGTGCTAGGGATCTAGAATACTCGGAGGCGGTAGTGAGCTGGACGGGTCGGGGGCTTTCGATGGTTGAACTTCTTGGAAAACACGATGTGCTGCAGTGGTGGCACAAAGCAGGCGTAGCCGTCATTGGTGAGTAAGATGCTATCTACGTCTTGTACGTCTCTAGTACGGTAGTACCTAAAATGGATGGTTGTGCTCCGATATCCTCTTGACAATGTGCAATGGATATTGTGATAAATTTGCAGGGTAAAAGCAGTACTGTTAGATGCTCCTAACACGTAGAGGTGATAGCTTGCTGGATGAAAAAGAAAGCAATATGGTGACATATCATGAAAGCAATTTAGGTTTCCCGATATTACTATGCTGTAAGTGGAATTGAGGGGTATTTGCAGCGAATTGAGGTCTAAGACGGCTTCATAGTGGCCGTAAATACCTTGTAACCGGCAGTCTGTGCTTCTATATGTTATCGTGTAGTGTTGTACCACAAGAGATAGTACACGATAACCTGCCTCCACACGGATCCGTAGAGCTACGTTACGCACGCGTGCACGTATGCGTGCACATGGCACCTTGTGTAGCACGAAACAGATTGGTGCGGCGTCTCCATGCACGATCATCCCAGGCCCCGGCCTGCATGAATATGATGCAGCGATGGCGCCCGAGGAAAAAAGCACGAACGCATGCATGCATACATGGTATGGTACGGGGAAGTTAGTATGCGGGCCTCGATCATCCCGTGTTGATGGCAGTGAAGTTTATCTTGCAGTTATATCAGCATCTCGCAAATGCAAGGAGTAGAGGGCTCACATTGGTTTAAAACCCTATAAGACAATAGAGGGCAGACATCTATCCGCCATTCTTCCAACGTATAAATACCTTACGGCCTACCTCACCAGTGACACACGCATGCTGCACCCCGTTCCATTTACCCGGCGGATGTGATCGCAGTGGCACTCGCAGTAGCACAACATGCCCCTCCAAAAATTGCGCTCCACAACAGCAAAAGCATATGTTTCCGTCCGTCACATCTGGCAGCAAAATAGGCGATAGCCTCCGACATCACCACTAACCTCACTCCCCCGACGTCACCCCAACAGACGCAAGACGAGCAAGACGACGTCCACTTACCTCGGGCTGGCTCTCCTACGAGGAGACAAGACGGGTATATAAACCCCCCAAAACCCCATCACGCAATTTCCAGCACCAGCAACGCAATCCTCCTTCAATCCTTGCCCATCACAGCACATCTAAACCCATCTTTGCAAACACATCCCAGCAAAATGCAATACGCCACCGCCATCCTCTCCCTCTTCGCTGCCACCGGCCTCGCCTCCGCCCACCACCGCCCAAAGCAAATGCCCTGGGACAACACTCCCTCGATGTTTTCCATCGACAAAACCGACATCTGCTGGCTCATCTGCGCTTCGCAACCCCTGGACTGCCCGGAAGGCTGGGTAAGTACACTGCTGCTCTCAAGAAAAAACTGCATGGCTAACAAATGCACGCAACAACCAGTATTCCTCCCAGCAAGGTGTAAGTGCATCTTGTTTTTTATCTATACTCACTCCCAACACATTGGGTTTGTGCTGATGTATGTCCATGTAGGAATGCTACACGTGCTGCCGTGGTGCCGGCGATTCGAAGGTTGGCAACGTCATCTGTAAGTGTGCTCCCCATTGTGCCATTTTTACCACTGCTGCTACGATCTTGTGCCTGCATGCCTACTGCTTGTCCTATTGCACAGGACCTAGCAGGCTTAACCTTGTTGTTGTATAAATCCTGTATTAACAGCGTTTTCACAGGGATCTAGAGGATTCATAGTTGGCAGTGGACTCAAATCAACGAGACCAGTTCAGTGGCTATGGTGCTGGCTAGCCAGGACCATGGACCATTTGATGGTGTTGACGAAAATGGTGGGTAAGCGGAGGTCTTGTAGCGGACGGACATGCGGTGGAGTCGCATTCGCAAAGTGGTTCGAGGTCCTACATTTTGTCAGTCTTTTAGAACCTCGCAATCGATGCTTTGCGCTTCCATGGATGCATCATGGGACCATTGTGAACAGCATGAACTGTTGTATTTGAAGGGTTTGCCTGGGTAGAGAGGTAGCTAAAAGCAGCCTAGTCCGCCGTTAATCATAAACGTTCCGGGTATACCTTCCGTTACCGTTGTCCCATCATGCAATAAGCAATGAAACCGTCCCGACCCTTTCGCGCATGATGGCATTTGCGTCTCCCATGTCCATGGCATCTGGGCTGGAAGAGGAAGGATGAAGAAGGCAAATCAGTTTCCTACCCACCCATACTCCAGGACTAAACTCCGCGCTCATATACAGCGACCCCGAAAATCGCAGTGTATGTCTTCAACCCACTTCGAAACGAGCTCGACACTCCAGCTCTTGAAAATCGGTCCAAGGCTCTCTAATATGTCCTCCCAGGTTTCTTCGTCCTCCGAATCTTTAATTATCCCGTTAGGCTCCCTCGGAACTTCGATACGTCTCAGCTTCGGCATCGCCGCTCTTCCAGCACCTGCCAAAAACTTCAAGAAGTTGTGGAAGGAAGACTCGTACGTAACCTCGGAGTTGATAGCCAAAACCTCCAGCGACACTGGGAACCAGTCTAGCAGCGCCGTAGACTCGATCTCCTCGTACGAGCTCCCCAAAAAAAACGAAAACGTAACCGAGAGGAACCGCAGCCGATGTAGCGGTTTCAGGCCACCTTGTAGGAGTGGCGTGGTATCATCCCACTCAACTGAACCTTTGTCAGTTATATCGAGTACGAGGGTCTCGAGCGAGTCGCGATGTAGGAGCAGGGCGGTGGGCAGCTCGGCAAAGTCAGTGGGTGTGTGATCCACTTCCGTCCAATCCACGGAGAGGGTGTTTAGCGCCTTGCACGCGTTGCAGAAGCCGACGACATCCTCAATTTCGCCATCAATCTGTTCGAATACAACGCGCGAGACGTTTGACTTCTGAATGGGCCATTGTTGGGGTCTGTCAAATATGATGTATTTGCAGTGTACTTTGCGCAGCGAGGGCAAGGTAAGGAAGGAAATCAGCGTCGCAGCGCTTTCGTGGGGCCATAGAAAATTGTTGTTTAGTTTAAGGGTACAGAGATTTGAAAACGGCGTTGATGCAGTTATTGCTTGGCTGGCAGTTGTAGCCTTGAGCAATCGGATGAGTGAGCGGTCTATGAGCCCCCAAACATTCACCCCGATAGTTAGGCGTCGCAAGTTCGGCAGCAGCGCAAGGAACAGCGTCACCTCAGCGCCTTCCGTCCCCTCTTCTAGGTGCCGTAGAAATATCGCTTTGTCCTCGTGACCCATCGCGACACATTTTGCCGCCTGAAGCAGCTCCTGGACGTGCTTCGCTGGCTTAACCTCACTTATGTAGTTCTTGTGCAAAAAGACGCCGCCCGACCACATGGGTTCCCACTTGAGCTTCACGCTATGCATTCTGTTCGCCAAGTCGGGCCGCCTGACCAGGGTTCGATGAAGCAGTTGGAATTGTTCGTATTCCGTAACTTTTTTGATGGGGTTGTGGTAGCTGGCGTACAGGTGAGGTTCCGCGATGCGATGCAGCTTGTGCGACACCCGTACCATGTTGTTCAGGTCCTTGGTATCTAGCTGACGGACAACGATGTCAAGGAGCTCTTCCGGAAGGCCGTCAAGATGTGACATTTCCGTAGCCACGCGCTTCGGACTGGATGCTGGAAGGGAGCCATCGGCTGGTCGATTAGTGCGTCGCTTCTTCGCCATGGCTGCTGCTGGTACTCCAAGAAAGAGAGGGTGAGAGAGAGACAATGGGGAAAGTCTGGGGAGAGAAAGAGGAGGGAGACAGAAGATGAAGGGCAGAACGCCAAACGCGTGTGAAAGGAAGCGGCTTATCGATAAGTACCTAGCGATTGTGCATGACGTAGGTCCAAGGTCGTGGCACACCCCAGTCGACGCGAAACAAATCAGAGACTTTTCTTCTACCTCCCTACATGCACTTGTTTCTTCTCTTTGCCCGGACTCATCATCTGCGAATCTCTAATAATAGTCAAATGCTTCAACCAAAAACGTCTCCACCACATCAACCCCCCAGCTCTTGAATACCGGCTTCAGAGGATCGAGAAACTGCACCGGAGCCCCAGCGTACAGCTCGATCAGCCTAAGGTTCGGCACGGCCGCTCTCCCCGCTCTCGCAAGGTGTGCCATAAAGTCATAAAACACATCCTTGTGGTACAAGTTATGCTCGTCGAGGTCCGAATTAATCGTCAGCACCTCCAGCGAGGCAGGAAGCCAGTCTTCCAGCGCAGCCGGCTGCGCAACATGTGCGGCATCAACCGGGGAGCAAAGACAGCGGCCTGTGAGGAGCTGCGCGGAAACCGACAGTGCTTTGAGGCGGTGCAGCGACTTCAGAGAATCCATGCATAGGACGTCATATTTGGTTCGGTGCGGGTCAAACCTGACCCAGACGCTCTCGTCCGTTATGTCAAGGACAAGGCGCTCGAGCGAGTCGCGCAGCGACAGCAGTGCTTCGCGGAGTTTCGGGACCATGGGAGCGTCGTAACACGCCTCGTACTGGAGGCACTCGAACGCCAACGTCTTCAGCGATTTGCACGTAAAGGCCAGGACCTGCACGTCGACGGGGTTGATGTCGAAATGCCGGAACACGGCCGTATCGATGCTCGACGAGTTCGGTTCGGGCAGCTTATCTACGATACTACAATAAAAGGGACGCTTGACGTATACAGTGCGCAGCGAGGGAACGTTAAGAAAAGGATTGAGCCTGTAAAAATAAAAGTGCTGCTCCTTGCCTCTCGATAAGGTTAGGCAGCGGAGCTGCGAAAGCGGAGGCGATCGCGAAAACGGGCTCTTGGTGGCATGGAGGAGCTGCATGAACGAGTGTTCTTGAGTAGGGATCCAGGACGGAATAATCTCCAGGGACTGCAAATTGGGGACCAGCCACAAAAGTAGCGTCATGAGTTCCTCCTCTTTTAGTTGCATCAGGTTACAGAGAAAGTCGGCTCTGTCCTCCACCTCCAATTCCGGTAATACCGTATCGAAGAGCTTCTGCATTTCTTGTTTGTCTGTCGACGACAAATCTCCATTGCTCCGGACCACGGAACAATGGACGTCTCTCAAGTCGATGCTGCGCATGTTTGCGGCGAGATCCGGTCGCTGGAGCAGTGTCCGGAGGAGCAAGGGGAGGCTACCGCGAGCGTTGAACGTGTATACGAAGCTCCTATACCTATGCGGCTCAGCGAGGCGGCGGAACCTCCTCGACACGCGTATCAGGCAGCTGATTGAACATTCCAGGTCTGCTGAATCATTCAAACTGCGCGCGATGATGTCTTCCAGTAGCTCTTCCGGAAGGCTTTCAAGGCGCGAGGCTGGCGTTTCCAGCGCAGCGCGCTTAGTCGGCATTTGCTGTAAGGGGGTATCGGCTGGCCTTTTGGCGCGTCGCGTGGTTTCCATTGTTGGGAGGGAGTGAGAGGAGAGGAGAGAGAGAGAAGGATGACACGTGGACGTGCCGGCGTCCTGGCGTGTCGCTGTGCTCCAAAAGCGCCACACCTTACAAAAGGGGGTCCTTTTGCAGCGAAAGGATGTCCCTGAACGTATCATGTGTGGCGTCCGCTTTTATTGCAAAAAGATACCCTTTTGCTGTCGATCAGCGGGGCGATACGAGTTTACATGTAAAATCGTATCACGCCTGTGCATCCTTGCGAGTCAGCTACGATTCACTTTCTCTTTTAAAGCTTTCTTAAAAATTTAAAAAGACAAACATCAGATAAAAAAGTTTTTCATAATGTTAAGTATAAACAGCTTATATTTTCAAATAAATTAGAATAACAAATTTTAGAAGGTTTTCCAGAGCTTTTGCTTACTATTAGGTGTAGCAGCTGGCTCGGATAAGTAACTCGGTACAAGTTATAAAATTACGCACTAACTGCAAAAGGACACTCTTTTGGATGGTGACACGCGTTTGGAGCAACATCGCGTCCAACATCACGTCCCAAAGCCGCTTATCGATAACTCGGCATATCGTCGGTGGTAGTGCATGACGTAGACGGCAGGACGGGTGGACGGTACGGACGGGTTGGTAAATGCTCGTAGCACGTTGAGAAGCCTGCAGTCTTTCGGTGAGTAAGATAGACAGGGAAACGAGTTGGGCCGGTGAAGGAGGAGAGAGCTAAGTTGTTGTTCTAGCTAGGGTTCTCTCGAAATTGTTTAAGCTAATCTCATCCTGAAGAAGACCCTCTATTAGCATGTCGAGGCCTACCTCCTTCGCTTCCTTTGATCCTGCTTCTTTTCTCGTTATCCAAGCTCCTCGTCATGTAGCTCAAAGGTAAGGACAACATCAGCCCGCGTTGTGTGGTAGACAGCGTAATACTCGAGTAGTTCTGTCCGATGTTGGATGTCCCGCTGTTGCACATACGTAATGCGGCCTATTTGCTTAGGCGCGCCCGTACCTGGCTAGTCGTAGTAGTATTTGAAGCACCTTTCCTTGGATCTTGGTCCCACCAACTCGACCCCCCAGCTTTTGAACGCCGGCCTTAGTGGATCAAGCTGCTTCTTGATCTTCGCATTAATGCACTCATTCCAGAGAATGCCATAAAATCTAACTCATAAACCTCTATGAGCCTCAGACTCGGCATCTTTGCCCTTCCTGCGTGTGCCAGAGAACCAAGAAACTCTTGGAAGGTGATGTCAGTACCAATGTACGAATTGATCGTCAACACCTCAAGAGAGTGGGGGAACCAGTCCAGCAATGCGTTCGGCTCCACTTGGTTTCCAGAGTCATTACCCGTGAGGAGTTGTGTAGTGATGGAAAGTTCCTTGAGGTGCTGCATTGAGTTTAAAGGGTCCATCGGTGGATGTGGGTCATCGTAGTCTCCAACGGAAAGGCCACGGTCTAGGACCAATCGCTTGAGCGAGTGGCGATGTAAAAGTAGTGATTGATGCAGTGTCTCGAGTTCTAACTTGTCAGAAAACACAGAAGACTCGTCCAGCACTAACACTTTCAGCGCTGTGCATGCGTTGCATAAGTCGTTTAGGTCGTCAGACGATATAGAGCATTGAACAAATATGGCTGTCTCGGCGCTCGATAGGTTTTGGCAGCGCCACGCTACTAAGCAGTCCTCCAAATCGACCTTCCGGCAGTGTAAGTCGCGCAGCGAGGGGATGCCGAGGAAAAGTTGAATAAAAAGCTCGCACTTCTCATCGAGGTCATCTAGCAACCAAAGAGAGCGTAGCTTGGAAAGCGGCGGGAGACGCTCAGATTCCGAGGCTGAACTCTGAATTTCTTCTTTTATGAGCCACATTAGCCGGTCGACCATCCATTCCATATCCGAGGTTCCGTCGAGCATGAGTGTGTCTACATTGGATACGAAAAAAAAAAAAAAAAAACAGCGCCACGAAAGCACTATCTTCACCTTGCGCCAGCTTGAGTCGCATTCCAATCGACACGTCCTTCGCGGCTTTGTCGAAGAGTCTTTGCATATTTTCTCTCTCCGGGGTTGTCATTCGAGGACGTAAATCGTCCCATAAACTTCTTGTACGCCGAAATCCGGAGAGGGTGACGCGGCGTATCATTGCGGCAAGGTCCGGACGCTGAATTAATTTCCGGAGGAATAACAGCAAGCTAAGGGAATGTTCCTGCCTTTCGTCAAAGTAGCTCCGGTATCTGTGCGATTCAGCAATTCGTCGAAACTTCCGCGACACGGGTATCATGCAGCCGAGTGCTTTGTTGTCCAAGCGTTCGACGATATTGTCCAGTAGCTCCTCCGGGAGACTGTCAAGATGCGAGGCTGATTTTTCCCGCTTGGTGACCGGCTCCTGCAAATCGCCATCAGCTGGTCTTGTGGGAGGTCGCGTTACCTCCATGGCTGCAGTTGATAGGTAAGACCGTGTTTGTCGACAAGACGCGTGGGACGCGTCGCGAAGGATTCGCGATGTGGGCCAGGCGGGTGCGGAGGCGGGGGCGGGGCCGTCGATGATTACGGCGGAGTGGAGCGGAGGAGAAGAGAAGCGGATGCTTCAGCTCTGGAGGAGCTGAAGCCGCAAGAAAGTTGGAGTGCAATGAACGAAGAATCTGGGACGCAGACGCGACGGTAGGTGTTCTAGGTAGGTCGCGTCGTGCGAGATGGTGCGCCGGCCGACCGCCGTGTTTTTCCACCCGCGAGTCGGGCGGGCAGGTGCCCGGGTCCGGCGCGACGACTCTCACTTTCTCCACACGTACCTCCGCGACTCTCTGCTCCGCACGCCATGCCAGTCGCTGCATCAGCGAGACCACTCCGCTCCGCTCTGTTCCGCTTGCTTTACCCTTCACGCGCATCATCGCGACCCTTCTTGCCATCGTTGCGTCGCGTCGACCCTACCGGGAAGTTGGTAAGACAATGCGGATGTTGTTTCGCAATAACGTTACCACGACACATGTTCAGCCAGTTGACTTTCGCTCACACGCTCACTTGTGCAGAGACTTAATTCCTTAACGCAGCTACTGTTCTCAGTCATTAACAATGTTTTTCAACTCCGCCAATGCCCTGTGTAGTATAAAAGCTCATGCCCATCCACCATTTTTTTTGTCCACAGTAACTTTCATTCAGACAGACAAGCACCCAAATGGCGAACAACTACGATCACCCACAGTTTCAGTTCGACTTTCGCTTCGGCCTTACCATGAGCTTCCCTGGCGAGAAACGCTCGAAGACCCTACTGGACCTACCGGAGGAGTTGCTCCTCCAGATTCTCACCAACGTCTTCGAGGAGGCGCCTTACTACAAGAACAAGGCTACGCCCGGCCTTCTCCGCGTCTGCAAGACGATCCATCGGATCACCGAGCCACTGCTTTACAGTGTAAGTGGTTACGCGTACAGCCCCCGCAGCTGCCGCCTGCTTATGCGGAGACTGACAGAACGACCCGACTTGGCAAAGCGCATCCGCCGTGTCGATGCACGCCCCGTCTTAATCCGTGATGTCATTCAAGGCGGAGCGCCCAATGTGGGTGACTTTATTGAGGTGGCCAACACAATCGACTTCAAGAATAAGCTGCACTTGTTTGATCAGCTGTTCAGGGGAAACCAGGCCGCTGAGGCGATAGTGCTGCTCAGTAAGCTTTCGAACCTCACGGCGCTGACCGTCAGGGTGTACGGAAACGTGTGGGAGTGGCCTCAGAGCTGCTTCTACATGCTGCTGGACGCCGCGACCGCCAGTACGTGTAGGCTGGGACGTCGTCCTCTTGTGAACTTGAAGGAGATTAAACTGACATGGAGTCGGGCCTGCAAGTACGGCATCTTCGGCACCGTTTCGAAGATGGTTCTCTCGCTCCCCAGTATCCGCAGCGTCAGAGGCATCAAGTTCCTATGCAACCCCCGCTCCAACCACGTCATCTCGGAGCCAGTGTTCTGGTTCAAGGAGCAGTGGAACGGCACTTCGGCGATCGAGCATATCACCCTGTCGAGCGATCTACTGCATTACAGAGGCGCAGTGACAACGGGCGACGTCCATCTGGCGTGCAAGGCGCCGCGCGCACTGCAGTCGCTCGCCTTCCGCTGGACGTGCGACCTTTTCAACCGGATCAACACAACGGCGCTGCTGCCGGCGTTGGAGTTGCAGCGCGCCTCGCTGCGGCGGTTGGAGGTCCAAGTGGATGGCGCCGACGAGCCTTTTTCGATGCAAGCGCCGCTGCCCAGCCTGAAGACGCTGACCGGTCTCAAGACGCTGGTGGTGTCTGCGGTCCTGCTGACGGCGAACGGCAACTTTGAGCGCTACACTCCGACCTGGACTTGCAATTGGGACAAGCTGGCCGACGTGTTCCCGACATCCTTGGAGGAGCTCGTCATCACGAACGAGTGCCAACTTGAGCGCTTCATGTCCTGGATGTTCCCGTTCATGACCAACTACAAGACTCTTGGCCCGCGCAACTTCCGCCGTATCGAGCTGGCAATGACCCTGCCGCCTTGGGCGGTGGACAGCATTCGCGAGATCTGGAGGGACCTCGACTTGGAACTGACGGAGGACCAGGGCTTGTTGATTTGGACGGAGTGGTAGGCTGATGATGATGCTGTTGCTAATGATGATGCTGTCGCTGATGCTGATGCTGACGTTGATAGTGCAACTCATCTGTATACAGCTGCTTCGACAAATGCTGCATTCTGAGGAATGTGTACGCCGTACCGCATACGGCTGGGGTTGAATTTGCCTATACTCTAAGCCTATGGTTTCGGTCATAGGCTTGTTTGTTATGGGCATAAAGGGCGGCGGTTTGATTTCCCTAGCGCCTAGCTAGATAGCTAGACAAAGATAGAAATTCTATCAATCACCGGAATGCAAGCAAGGCTCTTTGGTTGTGTGAGACATGTGATGCGGTGATTTGTGGGCGCACCAAGTTTGCCTTTGAGATGTTGGACGTGAGACTCCTGTCTCAAAGAATGCATGTTCCTCGGAACGATACAGATTCTGTTTCCTTTACCTTGTTGTCTCTGCATAGTTAGAGAATGATATATGTAAGACATTGAGTCTGAACTGGAGACGGCTGTATGCTGATATCCAGCCGTGAGATTCTACTTCGTAGTATTTCAGTAGCGGACGTTCAACACTTTTGCGCCGTGTGGGGTCGCCGTAATTGCGGTTTTGGTGTACAGTAAGTACGGCGGTCTGTAGGATGCGGTCGCGCTGCGTTTTACCGCAAGCAGTAGCTTTGATGAGACAGCTTGATTTCCAAAAAGTAGAGAATCTCAATACATAACACTAAAACAACAGCGAAGAGAGCGACCGCACGAGCAGAGAATAAAGCCTTTAAAACGCCATCAGCCAATCAGCCACAAACAACATTCTCTCAAAGCAAACCCCCCTACGACAAATAAACCGGCAAAGCCTCAAGCCCGACATCCTTCCTCGAAGGGGACCAGCTAATCTCGTCCAGCGGGATCGCAACCCTCAAGTCCGGCACCCGCAGCACCAGCGCCTTGAAGGCCTCCTCCAGCTCCGCCCTCGCCAGCCACTCGGCCACGCAGCGATGGGCACCAAACCCGAACCCGAGGGCCGCCTCGGCGCCCCGCGCGCGATGCATATCGAAGCGGTCCGCGTCTTTGCCAAACACGTCCTCGTCGCGGTTGCCGCTCTGGTTCGCGCAGATGACGCCCTCGCCGGCCCTGATGACCTTGTCGCCCCAGCGCACGTCGACGCGCGCGACCCGCCGCAGCGCGTACGAGCTGCCGGTGTGGAAGCGGCAGAGCTCCTCGACGAACTTGGGCGCCACGGTCTCGGGGCCGGCGCGGAATTCTGCGAGCGGGAACGCGGGGTTTAGCAGCTCGAGCACGCCCAGCGCGAGCATGTTGACCGTGGTCGCGTTGCCGGCGACGAGGAGTAGGAAGGCGATCTGCACCACGTCGGCGGGCAAGAGGTGCCCTGGCGCGAGCTGCGTCGTGATGAGCTGCGAAATCAGGTCGTGCGCGGGCGCGGCGGTGCGCGCGGCCACGAGGCCGCTGAGGTAGTCCAGCAGCGATTGGTTGGCCAGCGAGGCTTCGGAGGCGGTGGCGCTGCCGTTGCTGCGGATGGCGGCTTGTTGGGTGAGGTAGGGGAGGTCGGCGAGGGGGACGCCGAGGATCGAGTAGATGGTCTAGGTAGGTGTTGGTGTTAGCGTCCTCGTTCTTCTTGGGGCGGGCTGGGACAAGACGTACGTAGGAGGGCACAGGCAGCGCAAAGTTCTCGACCAGGTCGATGGGCGCGCCGTCGTATTTCGCGAGCATGGCGTCTAGCAGGTCGTTGACGGTTTTGCGGATCTGCGGGCGCATCTTCTGCACGTTTTCGAAGGAGAAGGTGTCGGCGACCATGGCACTGCGTTTGCACCATCGTCAGCTCCATCAAGGCTTCATTCGTTGTCGTAACCTTACCGCTGGATGCCATGGGCAGGCGGATCCATGTCCACGAACGTGGGCTTGTTCTTCGCCGCCTCCTTGCCACCTGCACTCATCTCAGGGAAGCCGGGCCGGGAGCGCTCCTTGGAGAATCGCTCGTCAGTGACAACAGACACGATGTCCTTGTACTTGACCAGCAGCCACGGATGGCTCCCATCAAAGAGCTCAACGCGCGAAACCGGCTCCGAGGCGCGGAGGCGCGCATACTCGGCCGGGGGCTCGGTGCCGCTGGGGCGGGAGAAGGGGAAGCTGGGGTAGGCTTTTGCGCCGTCAGTATGGAAATACTCAAGACACCACGGTCGCTCTGCGAGCCTTACAAGCGGTAGAAGCCATTCTGGTCGACAAGAAGCGAGCACCAGCGTAGACAACAACAATGGAACAAGGTTTGCAGCCGGACGCACAAGACAAACTCAATGGCCAGACCCTGCTTCGATTCAGCTCTATCTATCAACCACCTTTCCCTGCCTCGCAGCTTATATACCCCTCCACCTTCCTCCGCCTCCCACTATGACTCTACACCAACGCGCACCACGACACCCAAGACTTGAGCACGCAACATCCACGCACTTCCGCACTTCCGCACTTTCCGCCCGGCCCGCGCGCACCACGCGACGTCAGTCCACCTCGGTGCGCCGCGTGAGGCGACATGGCTCGACGCGCTGTCATGGTCACGTAAGGGGGTTGGCTTTCTCCGCGGAGGCGCGCGGTTCTGCGGTCGCGGTTCTGTGGAGGCGGTTCTGTGGACGCTGTAGGGTGACGGAGCGAGCCGCGGCGGCGCGGGGTTGGCGCGACTGATCGGCGAACCTGTGGGTTGCGTGCCTGCGGATTTCTGTGGTTGTGGTTCTGGTGGGGTGAGCGTCGGCAGGGTCCGATGGGCTGCGTGAGGGGCCCCGCGCTTCAGCCACGCGCTAGGCGCTTGGGCTGCGAGTTAGGCTCTGCTGGTTGCGTTGGTGGGCTAGGATGCTTGCGGTTGGTGCGTCTCCTGTTGCGGCTTGTTAGTGGCGGTGTCTGCCGGCTTGCCAGTGGCTTGTTGGTTGGGGACGTGTGAATTTGGAGTGGGTTTAGTTACTTGTTCGTCTGTTAGCTTGTGCGGAAGGTGTTGTGATGGTTTTTGATGATGTTAGGTTTTTAGTCCTGATCGAAATTGTTTTGGGCCAACCGGGTGTAGACGTGGTTTAGTTTGGGGGGTGGTTCGAGGTTGATTAACTTATGGCGTTTTGAGGGCCTTTTTCTCGGCTCCTGTGGTCGCTCTCTCCTCTGTTGTTTTAGTATTATGTATGACATCTCTCTACTCTTCTTCAGACTATCTCTTCTAGTTGCGGCGTTGCGGCGACGATACTTAGCTATGAATGTGGCAGCGCTCTTCCTGGATCAAGTTCGTTCCCTTGGTTCTTGCTGAGGTGAAGCGGACTCCTTGAGTTAAGGATGGAACAAATGGACTGAGCAAGTCAAATTATCGAAATCTTCAAGAATGCAAGATAGGCTGACTAGAAAAAAGGTTGTACTGTGAAGGAGAAGGTGGTTTAGGTCATCAGAACCTGCCGATTGGGCACCGGGTAAGCGAACCGTGGGACAACCTTCCGTAATAGAGAGCCATAGGTTATTGCGTGGCGTTGCGTAGCAGACGCGCGGTAGTAGATATTTAGGTTATTACTTACCTATATATCACGATACTTTCTCGTTCGGCTCCCCACCGCGGGAGCAGAGGCCCCGTGATACGCGCGCGTGTAGATAAATACCACTAAATATCGTCCCGTTCGCTCAGTACCATGCTAAGGCCTCGTTGTTCAGTCGTGTTCAGCCAACGGGACTCCCTTCAAACCCATAGTAGACCAGGCGGGAACGTTCCTAATTAGGAAACCATCCATTCGGCTCAACGTAGTAAAGACGTTAGACTGGACCATTCCGCATTCTAGCCACAGCACCGGGCAGTGCGACTTCCCTGCACCTGAATGTCGGCTATTCTGTGCCATGGCCAAAAGACTGATGTTTGCTATAGGCAACACAACCAATCTTAATCAAGCCGCTTGAAAATTTCCCGTTAGTCTTCCAACCCTGCTCTTGATCCTTCTTTAAAAGCACCAAAATCGCGCCACGTCAAACCACACAGCGGGGCGAAATGGATATCGCCGCAACTCTCGTTGAGCTGGACTGTTTCTGCGGAGCATCGTTCCTGTTCGCCGACGACCTCAAAGAGCACCGAAGAGCACGCGGACACTTCAAAAGCCATGTATGCCACCCTCTGTGCAAGCATCCACCATACGCACCGAACCCTTCACCGCCGCGAACATGTCAAACATGCGGAAAGGTCTGCCAGAACGGAGACATTTTCAAAGACCACATCGTTGTCACCGGCCACTGCTACTGCGCAGAATGCAACATTATATTCAGCAACCCGACGGCGCTGCAGAAACACCTGAAGTCGAAGATGCACGCCTCGGAGTTCCACTGCTGCGACTGCGATTTGGACTTCAAGGATTTGCTCGGGTTAGAACTCCATTTGAAGGGACCGAGGCATGGACAAGCACCCAAAAAGAAGGCTGCCAAGAAAGAAAAATGTCCTTGCACAAAATGCAAGAGGGTTTTCAGATCGGACGGGGCCCTACAGCAGCATCTCACGTCAGTCAAGCACAACCCGCTAAGCGGCTTGAAATGCCCGCTCGGAAAAAAATGCAAGAAAGTCTTCGCTTCGCCATCGGCTCTGCTTCACCACCTTGAAAGTGGGAGTTGCGACTCCGGCATGACAAGGCTTCAGCTCGACCAGCTTGTTCGAAACCACGACACAGATCGGCTAATAAGCGTAGACTATGGAAGCTTAGGCGCGGACACGGCATCTATATCCGCACCTAACGACTTCTCGCCAAAGATCACGGCCACAGACAGCGAATGGTCGATGTATTCGATGCCAACGCCAGCGCTCAGCGACACCGGCAGCGAGTGGACGATGTGTTCGATACCAATACCAGACATCAGCGACACCGGCAGTGAATGGTCCCTTCTCACACCCGACCACTCTGACGGGGGCGTCTTTCTCCCCGCCGAACGCTCCATTCTTAGTAGCGTAAGCAAAGCAGCAGCGCCAAGGCTCTTCAAATGCCCAACATGTCCCGCCTCGCACAAGGGCTTCAAGACACTAACGGCTCTGGAAACCCACATGGCATCGCCCGCGCACGCCCTGAAGCTGTACCGCTGCCCCATCAGCATCATCACGCCGGAAATCGGACCCGGCCTGCAGGGCCAGTACAAGGTGTTCTCGACGCTGAGTGGGCTGAGCCAGCATATCGAGAGCGGGGCGTGCAAGGGGGGCAAGAACACGTTTTCGAGAATCATGATGTTTGTGCAGGAGAGGCTGAGGGGGCTGGGGTTTAGGGACATTTCGCTTTTGCGTGGGAATGCGGCTTGAGTGGGTGTGGATTGCATGATGCTTAGAGTTGTGGTTTGCTGCTTCTGGGTTATGCACCTTGTTCTGCGTTGCTGTGGTGGGGATACGTGGCCTTTGACGTGATGTAAGAGAGAACATGGTGGAGTGTTTGCGCCCCGACGACATCCCACGTGGCTTTCTTTTGCAGTGACAATTTGCAGGACAAAAGGTATTCCGTGGTTCTTCCTTTGTTTTGTGTGAGGAGCAAGCAGGAACACGCAGGAGGGTTTGATAGTCAGGTAGCAGTGACATTCATGTTCGGAGTATGGACTTCTTGAGTTCTGTCCTTTGGCCACACATAAAGCGGCTGCAGGTCTTCTAAGAAGAACAAAGAGCAAACGATCAACTCTCTTTTCGAAACATCTCTTTGTAGCTCAACACAACTTCACAAGGGTCTAAGACCTTTTATTCAGCAAAAAAAAAAAAAAAATCATTTTGCTTGCTGTTTAATTCCCTATCACACTACGGTCAATGATAAGTGTCTCAGATTTATTATCCACTATATTGGTACGCGAATACCTTTTCCCCTTGAACTTGCCGTGAAATACTAAGCCATTACAAAGTTAAACCTCAGCTTCCCGCCAGAGATTTTCCTCCAACAACGTATTCATACTTCCACGCAAATTACTTCCTATAGCCAAACAAAACCACTGCCAAACACCTGCTGCTGGATAATATTTTAAAAGAGCGTTTATACCGCGTATAAAATGCTTTTAGCTTTAGTGCTGAGTCCAGCTGGTTTGCGGCGATCGTGTATTAAGCCTTATATCAGCCCGGCTTAATACGTGTCCTATGCCGCCAGAATTAGTAGTGTTTGATGGGTTGGAATAGGGGGTTATTTGTTTCAAAAATGTTCCATTGTAATTGGTTCCGGAAGATATGACTGTGCATACATGATAGCCGAGTCGTCCAGCTGTATGTCGTATATATTGGAGGCCGTGAGGGCATTTGAGTCTTCTAGCAGCAGCGGCTGTGGTTCTTCGTATATTTGATTATTCGGTTCCCGGTATGTTCTTTCTTGTATTCCGTTGTTTGGTCCTTGTTAAGACTTTCAGCAAACCGGTCTGCTTAAGCTCAGGATGTTTTTACATACTATAAACGTAAAGGGTTTTTGGGAAGCTGTTGAAGTATACGCAGTTTATATTGCTTTTTCTGTGGCTTAGTCATTTAGCACAGGGTATAAGAGGACTCCGCCTACCGGGCTCCTAACAAGATCATGCCACTCATTGCTATCAATTGAAACCCCATTCATTGCAACAGAAGCCTAGAGGGAGATCGAATGCATTTGTTGCCAGATTTTCCAAATGGCCAGATGGTTTTAGAACTGATGCCGGTTCATATACATTAAGTTGACGCATTGCAATAGCCTCCGAGTTCTGTATAGAATTTGACCAAAGTAATTCGCTCAGTGTTGTTCCATGAGATTCTTCGCCGCTTGATGGCTCTTCAATTGGAAAGTGGGCAGACGAGACTCTATTGTATTATGATTTTTGTGCCACTTTGCCGGGCTGTTGGCAACCAACTTCAGGTTGTAAAACTTCCTCTTTCCAAACAATCTTTTTTTCTTCAAGGTATCCGAAGTGGATATGCTTGCGCAAAAGCGGTATGAGGCAGGAGTCCTTGGTGGCCAGCTCCGGCATACTTGTTCCAACCTTGACCAATATCTCGATGATGAGTTGGGACGTTTGAAAATCCAGGTCAGACCTTCTCATCTCATCGTCCTGGCTCATTTCTTTTCCTATTTCCAAACAAGCTTCCTTGACATCGTTTTTCCGCAACCTCCGTTCCCACCTAAAGATTGTCATTGCTATTGCCTTACTAGAAAATATAAAAGTAAAAGTAACTTACAGTGATGAAGATCTCGCATCGATCTCGAGGATGCGGCCGATACCAAGTTCTCTCGCCAGTAGAAGGTACTTGTTTGTACAGCAAATCATCTGGCGGATGTCAGAAACCGATTCGCCCGTATATTGTGATATCGCCTTGTACGCGTATGTCCGAGCCCCTTGACCACAGTTCTTGTGTACTGGAATTGCATCAGATTTCATGTAGCAATCTATGCAGTGTGCCAACAGAATATATAAAATGCGGCTTGTATAGGCGACTCCCCATACGTTTCTGTTTATCTTTCTGTTTATTTTTCCAGTGGCTTGAACAACTTGGAGCACTGCCGCTCTAGGAGCTCTAAGAACACCTGCTGGTTCCGAAGTACTCAAATCAAATAGGAACGACCAGTTATTACTCCTTCGAATCTCCTGGATTAGTGATGCTGGTAGAAGATCCACGCATCTCAAGCTCTTAAGAGCTAGGTTGACATTTTGTTTATTAGGCCGTTTACGGTCACAGCTGTTTTTGGGTGTTCCTTTCGTAGAAAGTTGATCTGTAAAGCTGCTTGTTTCACTGCTGGATTGGCTAAAATTATGCTGTAAACTTGGGGAATTCACAACAAACTCGCTCGAGGACCAAGCCGTGTCGTGGCTTCTGTCGCTTAAACTGTATAAGCTCCTTAGGTCAAATGCTTCGTCTCTGTCTTCTGTAATGTGTTGGGTACAAAACGATTGCTCGATCGGTTTTCCCGGACTCGGGAGGAACGAGAGTGGCGTTGCGTTCAACGCAAATTGTGTGGGCGCGAAGCTGAAAAGTTCTTCAACGGTTCCTTGACTGAAGAACTTTTGAATGAGAGATTTCTGGTGCTACGTATACAATGTTAGATGCAATTGCATGCGAGCGTGAAGGACAAGGTTCTACTTACTGGTAAGTACAAGACCGTAGAAGGATTTGCAGAGCTGAGTACGAGAAGTGCACTATCCACCTGATTGCCTTGAATGCTGTTGTCGAGAGCGGAAGACATTTGGCAAATATGCGAGTTAAATCGCCTATATCGAAAACATGGAACGAGATGCGGAGCAAGATTTAGAACAGTAACGTGAAGGGTAGCTGCTGTCTTTTGAATTTGAGGGATCCACCTTCTCCTCGAAGCATGTTTGTGCGACTTGAGTCTGCGGTAGCGAGCTTCATGACTACATAATACATTTCGCATATGTGATAACATGATTATCCCACCTCTGGTACACACAAATTATCAAGGTATTCGTTGCTAGGAAAATAACTTTTAGACACTAAGATCAAGATTGAGTTGAGTTGAGTTGTATTCATTTACCCTGACCCATCGCCCTGAGCGATATGCAGGCTACAGACTATTGTCAGCCAGGATCACTCCGATAACTCTCGTTTATCAGCC